CAGAGAGACGCCTAGCCACAAATGACACATACATACAATCCAGGGATGAGACCAAGGGTTCAGGAAATCCGGGAAAAAGCCCAGAATGGAGATTAAGGTCATCTTCGGTGGGTAAGAAACTGGGGACACAGATGCCAAACGGAAGAATTTTGAACGGCGCCTACTTACGGCTTCCATCTCCGACCCACCTCATAAGAAGGCAAGGATCGAACCAATCACGTTCGGTCTTGCGGATCTATCAGCATCGCCCAATCCGCACAGGGACGAGTTGGTGGTAAGCATGTGTATTGATAACGCCCTCATCCGCCGAGTACTGATGGATACGGGTAGCAGTGTAAATGTCATGTATTTACGGACGTTCGAAAGAATGAAACTGGGAAGGGACCGGCTGACGCCCCTCAAAACACCATTGGCAAGCTTCACAGGAAACAGGATCGATACAGAGGGGACTATCTCCCTTCTGGGCGAGATTGGAGACGAGGCACACCGAGCGGCGGTTCGTATGACATTTGTAGTGGTGGATATTCAATGCGCCCACAATGCCATATTGGGCCGACCCAGGATCTGAGGTTCGTTTTCTTTAAAAGTGATCTGAGCGGCTTCAACAGCATGAACCTTGGACAGAGCGGTGGCAAGGCCCACCCGGAGTTGGCTAAGATCAGCTTCAAACTTCTGCTGCTCTTGACTCGCATCCTGAAGCACTTCAGCAGTAGCCTGCTCTGCAGATAACCGAGCCCTAATCAGCTCCTCCTCTCTCTCCAGCCGGGCAAGTTGGAGCTGAACACTATAGTAACCAGCCTGCAAGATAAAAAAGTTATTTACCAAACATGAAAAGATGAAAGGGGAACGAACGGTGGAAAATTACCTTCAGAGTAGCCAGGGAAACCCCTGTCTCGGCCTGCTCGACCGACAATCGCGAGAGATGGTACTCATTCATCATTGCGGAGGTACTCCAGACCCGAGCGGGATGGCACCCACCTTGTTATATAATCAGGTGGATCGGGTCATCCAGCTGAATTGGCTCCACGGGCTTAGAAACAAAGGCATGTCTGGCCCCAATATTAATAGCACCAAACGAACCCAGGACATCATTGAAAAGGGGATTAGAATGAAGATCCCCGAACGGCTGGTCCACAACCATGTCATTAAAATTTACCTCATGAGGCACTTGTCGGAGTGGCTGGGGCTGCTGAACCTCGGGTTGAGCTGCCGCTTGGATGGTCTCAGGGGCCAAGGTCTTAGCGTTCTTCTTAACCGGTTTCTTCTTCTTGACCTCGCCCATTACTTCAAGACGACTTCTGTTCATGACTGCTTCGGAGTTGGGAGCTGAAAAATGAGAGGAAAATATTAGTACCGAGCGGCCTTAACGTGTGTGAAACAAACACATAAGTTTCTCGCACAGGAAGGACCGCCCGGGCCATGGCACTTGGTTTTCAGTCAAGGATCCCAGGAATTCGGGCGGTACCTATCACATCTTTCACAAGCTGATCGGGGGTCAAATAAACCATGACATCTAGCATCTTGACCCTCTCTACAACAATGATTTTCTCTTCTAATTCCATAGAGGGAAATGGATCGGTGGATTTTGGAGGGTAAGCGTTCCACCTCCTTGGGATAAGGCCGTCCGAGACTGAAACGAAGAAAAAACGATCTATCCATCCTTTGATGGAAGTAAGGTTCCCTTTAAAAAGGATCCTTTTCGGTCGGGAACTCACTGCCAGGAATCCATCAGTTTGTTGGCGGGCAACCTTGAAGAAGTGATGGTAGAGATCCAGAACAAGCACAAAGTCAGCATCCTTGCAGCGACAAATGAACCCGGCTATGACCCGATAGGAATTTGGCATTACTTGGGCCGGGACTATTTAAAGTGGTTGAAAAAGGCGACAAGGAAAGGGTGCAACGAGAACCTAAGTCCGGCTTTGATTGAATCAAGATGCACCACCGTCATCCCGGGACGATGGCGCAACGGGTGTAGGCCAGCATGGAGACGGAAATCAACCGGGTCGGGAATCAGGGCTCGAATTTGGGCCCTAAGTTTATTTGACAATTTTTGTTGCCGTTTTCGAATGGGCCTCAAACCCAAATGATGACGGGGGGCATCATCAGGAGGACCACGTTTCATCACCACCATATCATTGCCAGACTCGGCGTCATCACAATCACTGCTGGATGTGTCACCGGAGGAACTTCTGGACTCAGTATTTTTAGAACCACTAACGGAAGGGGAATCTTCAACCACATCCTTCAGGATGGCACTGGTGCCCGCCGTATCGCCAACATTGGCATTAATCTTAGAATCCCGACCCTGCTCAGTAATCGAAGGATCAGGAGAACCAGAACTTAGTGACATTTATGCCGAATTGGAAGAAAAAACAGACAGCAAGGGACAAATTACCTAAGCGAATTTGGGAAATTGGAGATTTGGAAAGAAGGCAGAGTGCTTGAGCGAAAGGGCGAAAATACGAAATCCCGAAACCAAAGCCCAAAACCCCTATTTATGGATTAAAGGCACTGTTACACCAACCAGCCACAAAGTAACACATGGCAAAGAACGCTCCAAGGGACATGTGTCGCACGGAAGCAAAACGACAGGTAATCATGACTTATATAGGGAATACAAGCGACAGCCGCCAAGGACTTCGAACCGTCACATCAGGAGTAGGCAAACACTAGCAGAGAACGTCGTACGCGATTACACCAAACGACGAGAAGCTTACGGTTCTACTTCCTCATGTCCCGAGCACGCTCCGAACAGCATAAGTGGGGGAGTTATGATGGGATATTAGGGTCCGACCCAATATACCGACCCAGAATATCCTCGAAGCCTAGACGCAAGGGAAGGCCCAGGGAGAATCATCAGGCCCGACCGATAAATCTCGTCCGGCACATCCCGAACGGGATATAATTAGCATTGAGTGATTAGCTTATTCCTAGTTAGTGGCTTAACTGGATTTAATTCCGAACGAGGATTGCTCAAGTAATCGACTGCAATTAATGCTGGATCATGGGGGCATTAAGTGGCATGGGAGGCAACCAATCACACTCGAGCATCCCATACCCCCATCTAGTATAAATAGCATTATTTAATTCATTGTAAGGGCTAGCATTTGTTTACTCACAAGCTTATAGTGCATTCTAGCTCTCGTATTAGCCTTTGAACCGTAACTACCGTTCGGTCATTTCTGTGTAATTGTTATTACTGTGTTAATACAAGCTGAGTTGTTGAGTAGTTGAACTAGATTCTATATTTCCTTTTATACACATTATTATAGCAATCCAACCCAAGATCTAAAGTTAGTGTTGGGCCTTCGGGATTAAAACCCAACAGTACTTTTGTTTGTTCTTTTTGCTATTTTATTATTCAGGACGTACGGAATAATTCTTGTTGTGTGGACATTAGTCGTAGTTTCTTTGGTTATTTTTTCATTATTCAAGTTAGGTTTGTGGGTGGAAGCCATAAAGCTTGTATGGTCGGTAAAAACTTCAAAGCTCTCACATGCTTAGCGAATACTCTCGCTCTTTTTAGGGTGCTCTATTATGTATCTAGTCAGAGAGTGGGAGAGCTGTTTGGCTATGCGGAGCCTCATAGGGAGGTTTGGCGTTTCTTGATTGTGGGGTTGTTGTTATCTTTGATTGCTATAATATAATTAGTTTCTAGATGTATTTCACACATATTAAAAAATAAATTTACTACGGGGTAAATTTTACTGTTTTAACACTGTTTGACACTGTTTGACATTGTTTTGCACTGTTTTGATGTAGATAATTTGTCAAATAAAGAAATGTAGGGAAGTGTGAATTTAATTGTGAGACTGCCCAAAAAAAAGTGTGAACTTAATTGAGGGACGGAGGGAGTAGACTACATATGAATTACTTACTCCAGCTCATAGCTACAACTGCGAATATTTTCACCAAAAACTCGCCTATTTGTTCCGGTTTAATTACATAACCACATCAATAAGAAAAAAAATAGAAAAATGAAATTACCGTTTGATGCAACTGTTTGAGAAATCGTAGCAAATGAGTAACAATTAATAGAAGTTCTGATAGTTTTGATAAAGTGATTTATAAAAATGACAATTTTTGAATCCGTCATGTGGTAAAATTAGAGAAGTCCATAAATTGGAATATTGGAGTGATCAACCCGTAATGGCTAGACTCGTAAAATGTTAGTTTGTGATTTTTATTACCCAAACGTGTAACATCGTTCCCAAGTACTCCCTCCGTCCCTTAAAATTTTGTCATCTTTCATTTTTTGGGCGTTTCAAAAAACTTTGCCACTTTCCCTTTGAATCAATTATTTTGTGGTTTCTGTTATTTCTCTCTCCTCTGCACAAATCTCAACCACACAGTTTTTACTTTATTATTCTCCGTGCCGGTCAACTTTGGCAAAATTTTAAGGGACGGAGGTAGTATATTTTTGTATTGAACCTCTTTAAATGGCTAATGAATTTATATGATTGTAAATTTTTGTTATTACTTTTACGTGAATAGTAAAAAAACGTGGGGACCACACTAGAAGTGGGGACCACCTGCTATTTCCGGGACAACATATTATATTTATCTTGGACTACATAATATGTATATGATGGTAGGAAACCGTGATTGGCCATATAAACAACATATGATTGGCCGATAGATCAATTGATCAAATGAGACTCATTTACTAGTTTCGGTAAAGTACCGAATAACAGCCCGTAATAAATCACGAAGACCAGTAAATTAAAGTTTGGGGCTTAAAGGAGTGACCTACCACATGAGTGGGGCCACCCCACCAAATTATCTCCCAAAAGTAAGAAATTGTTCTCTTTGTCTTAATCTTATTACTTATTGCTTATTCTTATTTTATTCAGATCAGATCAGATTTGATCCTTATTCTTACCAATTTAGAAAGTTAAGATCAGATCAAAAAGATTCAGATCAGATCAGAAACATTCAGATCAGGTCAGAAACATTCAGATCAGACCAGACAGATTCAGATCAGATCAGAAACATTCAGATCAGGTCAGACAGATTCAGATCAGATCAGGTCAGATCAGAAACATTCAGATCAGGTCAGACAGATTCAGATCAGATCAGGTCAGATCAGAAAGATTCAGATCAGATCAGATCAGATCAGAAAAATTCAGATCAGATCATATCAGATCAGAAAAATTCAGATCAGATCAGATCAGAACTTAAAAAATTCAGATCAGAAAAATTCAGAACAAGTGAAGAGAACAACTTCTAAGCCAAGATGGATGGGTGACTTATTGAAAGCTTCAACCAGCAAGAATAGTAGTCTCCAAACACCATCCTTACCACCTCTATTCGAACTAGAACAAGGGAAATGAAGTGACAGAAGAAAGGAGAAGAAAAAGTGGAAGAAAGAAGAGAAAACCTGTTGAATCAAGGTAAGGACCTCATAAATACTTTTGAGAATGACAAAAATAATACAATGAGGTTTCCAATAGACAAAAATGAGACCATATTTTCGTATGGGTAAAAATGAGACCAAATACAATTGAAGTGACTAAAATACTAGGGGTGGACTCGGGTACGGGCCGGGTCGGCCCTAGGCCCAGACGGGACGGTTCAGGAATGGTGGACTCGGGACCGGTCCGGGTATCCACCGGTTCCGGGCCGGACCTCCGGTTTGATTTTTTTTTTACTTTCCTAACCCCCTCACCCCACCCTCCCAAACCCCCCAAACTCATCCTAACCATCAGCCCAACCCAGGTGGAACCACAAAAATGAAAAAAAAAAAAAAAAAAAACCATTTGGCCCGGGCCCGGGTCGGTTCGCCAAATGTGAGACCCGAGCCCAGATCCGCCCTACCCCGGACCCGAGAACCAGGCCGGTTTCGGTCCCGCAAGTAACAGGCTGGGCCGGTCCACGGGCTGGGTGGACCGACCCGAGTCCAACACTACTAAAATACCTTCCACATAATTAGCCCAAAACAACTCTGCATCGGTTCTTTTCCGTCCAAGACCATTGCGTCTCCATCTTCACTAGCCATCTCCTCACCGTACCGCCGCGTTGCACAGCACCACCGTATCGTCGCGTCGCACACCGTCATTACACCTCCATCTTCGGCGACGACTGCAAGGAAATGACTACGGGGCTCCATCGACGGCAGAGGCAATGGCGATGGGGCTTCGGCAGACGACGAGAACACGGCGGCGAAGGCGTCTTCAGTTTGAGCGTCGAAGAGTGTGCTTTTGCTGTCCTGACTCTTCTTCTGCTTTCTTCTTCTAGGCCGGCTCGTGGCGCCATAAATCTGGAGCTCCAATTTCTTCTTCATCAATCCACATCTCGATCGTCTATTCCTAGCGGCTAGGGTTAGTCGGCGGTTCAATCCAACGACAATCGGATGGGGCGGCAGCGGCTGTTGCAACAGGGGATAGGGATGAGGGTGAGGGGTAGGATAAAGGGGTCTGATAGGGCATTAAGGCAGGGGGAGGGCAGGGTAGTAGATGCAATTGTGACCGATCATACCCGTACTGAACCGTCCCGGTCAAAACGGGGAAAACCGCATTGATTGGGGTCAAGAAAGCAAGGATGGATTCAAGACAGGCAAGAAGGAAGCAAAGTCATTCAGGGAGTTCGGGAACGGGTATGGGGCGGGGAATATCCGTTTTGGTTTTACGGGTAACTGGGTGGTTACGGTTTTATACATTGTCGCCCCATACCCGCCCCGTACCCGTCCCATTTATTTTTGAGTATACTTTTATTACATTTTTTATCTATTATTTGTCCCACAACTACAAAAAGATAATTTTTCTATTTTCATTGTGTATATATGGATAATAGATGACTAACTATAGTGTATGAATGAAAGTTTACAATAGATCTTAATAGTCTTGTTTGATTATTATAATGATTAATTATTTTTCATATTAAGTATTTTTAGGTTCAAATTAATTTAGGTTAGCCTTTTTTCTTGTCTTGTAGATATACGAAACTTAAGTGGCATATGAGTCTAGAGTCGATGTCATTTTTCACACTTTAAATATTATTTATATATTAAAATAATAATGACTCATATAATAAACTGATTACTCGTGGTTACCCGCGGTTATACTCGTTACCCGTTGGGGCGGTTATGGTTTGAGTAAAAATTACCCGTTGGGTAACGGAGCGGTTACAGGGCGGGAGAATTACTCAGCGGGGCGGGTACGGTTATATGTAAAATCGTCCTCGGTCTGCCTCGTTGCCATCCCTACAAGGCAGTCAGCAGTGGGTGAGTGGGTCATGGGGCAGTACGAGAGGGTGGTCAGGGGTAGGCCTCTCAATGGGTCGGGTCTAGACCTGGACCCGACCCACACTGGTTGTTTTTAGTGGGTACAGGTCTATATTTTATAACATTTACCTGGACCCGGATCCGGACCCATTAGTATTTAAAATAAACGAGTCAGGTATGATACACATGATTCTGACCCGTTAAGGACCCATACCCGTTTAAATTTTCTTATTTGTATACATAGTCACTAATATATAAAGTGATTAGTTATATAGAAATTGCTCTAAATACGAGGAAAAACATTTTGAAATTCCGAAATAAGAGTTATATTTTTTATTACCTGAATAGGAATAATCTGCCAAACTTGGAAAAAGTGCCATATTTTAAAGCCTAGTAATGCCAAATTTGGCACAAATTTACTCCTATTCAAGGAATAAAAAATATGATACTCCTATTTTGGAATTTCAAAACTTTTTTACATAAATATGATACTCCTATTTTGGAATTTCAAAAAATATGATAGTCCTATTTTGGAACTTTATATATATATATAATACATAAAGTTATTAGTTGTGATTCTTCAATAAAAATATACACATTAATACATAACTACTCCCTCCGTCCCGGAAAATTAGTCCCATTTTGACTTGGATTGAATTTTAAGAAAAGTTATAAAATGCTTTGACTTTCCCAAAGTGCCCCTAAAGTAAAATTAAAACAAAGGAGAAAGGAATTGCGGCTGGGGGGGGGGGGGGGGGGGGGGGGGATTTACTACACCCAAAAGCTTTACACTGTGCATAACAGTACCCATTCGTACTACACCCCTTTCCCCCCTAAAGTTCCCTCTTTTTTTGGGAATGCTTCTAAATTAACCCTATCTATAAATACACATTCCAAATGTTCCCTCCCTCCCAAAAATTCACTACACACTATCACACACTTCACGCAGCATTTATGGCCGCAAACAGCAGTGGCGCCTAGACAGCTTCTTCCCCTACTGCAGCTACCATTAATGAAGAGTTGTCTTCAGGTGCAGTGAATGGTCGGTCATTCCTCACCAACTGCCATAAATGAAACCCTGCACACACCAACAAACGGCCAAAGCTCAAATATCAAAGCAAGAAGACTACAAAAACGAGAGAGTATAGTTGATGAAATTCTAATCAGTGCAACAAGAACATAATCTGGGGAGGTGATAGCTCAGCATGGTGTTCTAAATCAGCTTGCCACTAAATATTCAGTGACCAGAAAAACTATTTTCAGGATCTGGACCAAAGCCAAAGAGCAGATTCAAAAGGGGGAAGCAATAGATGTCAAAACCAAGTGGATAGGAAACTCAGGTAGAAAAAGAGTGTTGTTTGATGTAACCAACATTTCACAAATCCCACTACACAAAAGGACTAACATAAGGGCACTTGCTTCGGCCAGTTCAGTTTCAAAGTCAAGTATTCAAAGATTAGTTCAGAGAGGTGTGCTTAGAAGCCATACAAATGCTATTAAGCCTTTGCTAAGTGATGCAAATAAAATTCACAGATTAATGTTCTGTTCCAGATAAATAGACAAATCAATTCCAGGAAATTCAATATTTAAAAATTTACATAATGTGATACACATTGATGAGAAATAGTTTTTCTTGTCAAAAACATCTCAAAGATACTACATGGGACAGGAAGAAATGGATCCACATAGGGTATGCAAGTCTAAAAGATTCATAACCAAGGTCATGTCACTAGGAGCAGTGGGGAGGCCTTTGTTTGCAGATAATGGAGAAGTAATATGGGATGGTAAAATAGGCATTTTCCCATTCATTGAGAAAGTGGCTGCTAAAAGGAAAAGCAAGAACAGGGATGCAGGGGTAATGGAAACCAAACCTGTACTGAGCATAACAAAAGCAGTGTTTAAGGACATGCTTATCAAAAATGTGCTGCCTAGCATCAAGAAAAAATGGCCAGAACAGTTAAGTAAGGACATTGTAATCCAACAAGATAATGCAAGGTCACACATCCTAGATTCAGACCCAGACTTTATGGTTGTCTCAAAAGCAGATGGGTTTAATATTACCCTAATTAACCAGCCCCTAATTCTCCTGATCTTAACATACTAGATCTTGGGTTCTTTAGGGTCATTCAGTCTTTGAAAGACCAACAAGCACCTAAGAATGTGGATGAATTGTTAAAGGCAGTAGATGAAGCATTCTACCATCTTTCACCCACCACTCTAAACAAAGTTTGGTTAAGCTACCAATATGTGATGTTAGAGATTATGAAAGTGGAGGGGGGGGGGGGGGGGGGAGGGACAACTACAAGCTGCCACACCATGCAAAGGACAGAATGATCACAGAAGGCAAACTACCAACAAGCATAGAGGTTGATGTGGAGTTACTAGAAGCCACAGAAGCTGTTTTATCCCAACAACAGGCTACTAATGGCCAGTTCATCCATGAAGATGATGAGGACTAAGTCATCTTCACTAATGAACTCAATCCATTAGTTCTGAAGACATGTTTTTTGTATTTTTGTAAATGCCTTTTTTTGTCATACTATAGAGGCCTATATTTTTGTAATTTTGTGGAGGCCTAAGAAATTTGGAATGTTTAGAGGCCTATACTATTGTAGCATAACAGATACCTTTCTCAAGCCTTATGGCTCTCTTATTCAGCATAGCAGCCTCAGACAAATCAATGCTCAGACTATATTGTCATCATAGCAGCCTCACACAAAACAATGTTCAGACCAATAAGGTCATCATAGCAGCCTCATAGACACCAACAAATCTCAGACCAATAAGGTCATTGTAATAGCCTCATAGCAACCAACAAAGCTCATACCAATAAGGTCATCATAGCAGGCAACAAAGCTCAGACCAATAAGGTCATTGTAACAGCCCCATGGCAACCAACAAAGCTCAGACCAATAAGGTCATCATAGTAGGCAACAAAGCTCAGATCAATAAGGTCATCATAGCAGGCAAAAAAGCTCAGACCAATAAGGTCATCATAGCAGGCAACAAAGCTCAGACCAATAAGGTCATCATAGCAGGCAACAAAGCTCAGACCAATAAGGTCATCATAGCAGCCTCACATAACCCTTACCATTCAGTCATACATATAAGAACACCATATAATCATCATTGCTGTCCCAGAATCAAACACATGTACACACACAACATACATGTAACACAAATTTCCGAAACAATACCAACATACAGATTTGCAATGCAAAACAGATAAAGAAACAAACTCCCCTGTTAGGCGTTAACGTCCCACATCCTCGATTCCCAGCCGGGTAGGATGAGTTTTAAGAAGTCCTCTAGACCAGGATAACGAATGTACTGCATTCGAACATCCTTCTTTATTTTAGCCCAAGCATCATTGTTCGGAAGCTGAACCTCCACCGCACCTCCACCGACCTCCTCCTCTGCCTTCTCTTCACTGTCCGGAACCAATAAGGTCATCATAGCTCCACCGTCCACCTCCTCTGACACATCTTCACTGTTCAGAATCACAGGCTTATCCGGACCTTCACTGTCTTCGATTTGGGACTCCAAAACGCTATCCGGAACCATAAGATCCGCCATGCATTCATTGCATGCAGGTAGATCTTCCATGGTAATCGAATTTAGGGATTTGATTTTAGGACAGACGGTTAGATCAACAGATAACATAAGGTTAAACTGGAAATGAAATCAGAGAAGGAAATAAAGTTCAATGAACTGAAGAGTGCAAGAAAGGGAGGACAAATGGCCGGAATAGTGTAAGAGAGGTGGGAATGGTGCTGCGGAAGTGGAGTAATGAACGAGTGAGAGGAAAGTGGGTGGGAATGGTGTTGCGGAAGTGGTAACGACAGAAGGTGAGAGAGTGGGAGGGTAAGGATAAGGATAAGGATGGGAGGGTAAAGAATAAGGAGGGGTAAAATGGGTTTTTAATTAAAAAAACCTTTCCTTATTTAGTAAGTGGACAAATTTTTTGGGACGTCCCAAAAAGGAAAATGGGACTAATTTTCCGGGACGGAGGGAGTAATATATAAGTGATATTGAACGAGATAGTAAGATACCCTAAAACTAATGCCCATTTTGGCCGTAAACACATACTCATAAAGTGTGTATTGGGCTCGGTAGTAAAAGTACAATATTTATTACTATTATTATTAATAATAATATATTATTATCATACTCCCTCTGTTCCTTATAACTTTGCAACTTTCCTTTTTTGGATATCCCACTAACTTTGCCATTTTCCCTTTTAAGTAAAGAATTTGTGGTTCCACTTAATTCTCTTTTCTCTGCACAAACATCAACCACACAGTTTTTACTTTATTAATCTCTGTGCCGGTCAAATTTGACAAAGTTTTAAGAGACAGAGAGAATGTATAATACTCTCTCCGTCCCATTTAAAGGTTCTCGTCCACTATTCTCCGGTCAACGTGCATTGTTCTTAATTTTTTACTTTATATATCTAACTTTATCAAATTTAATTTCTTTTGATCAGGTACTATAGAACTTTTAATGTAGTTTCTGAATATGTAAATTTTATTTACTAAGAATAATTCCACTAATGACAGAGATCAGATAACTTTATGGTCAGTCAAATATCGTAAACCGCGTGGGAACCATTAAATGGGATGGAGGGAGTACTACATATGATTTTATAATCTTAGTAGTCCAAAAGATCTTTTTATGACTTAATTTCTAGTTTATTCTACGAGCTTTTTGTGAGAGAAAAAGCAACGCAGCGTGTGGAGCTATATGTCTGTATAAGAACCGATACTTTGTTAGGAGCCCGTTTGGCAGCACGAAAATCGGCTGTTCTGGCTGATTCTGCTTAAATTTATGAAGTTCTGGTTGAAGTGGCTGCATTGGTTGATTCAGCTGATACAAGAAAAAAAAATTAAAATATATTTTATTAATAAAATAAAGAAAAAATTATATGTAAATATAACTAAAATGGTCATCTACAGTAACTTCAGACAATACAGCCAGAAAAGTAACTTCAACCTTACTTTTTCGGCTTATTACACAATTCAGCACGCGAAAGCAAAATTTACGTGTTTGGTAAAAAAGTTGGCTGATAAGCCTGATAAGCCGGAAATGAGGGTTGCCAAACGGCCTCTAGATAAAAGTACCAACTTTCTATGAGAGACATTGATTTTTTTTGAAAAGTGAAGATATATTTTGCTTTTAAATTTGTAAACTTTGCTTTATATTTTACTTACATGTCTTGTTATTTTCACAAAGTCTATAATGTTGTGTGTATCATACTTGGCGGGCGGGTCTACCCGACCCGATTCCGAGACCCGTTGGATCTGGGTCTGGGTCCAAATTTTCAGACCCGCCGGGTAAACGGGTCGGATCCGGGTCCATTATTAACTTAGCGGGTCCGGGTCTGGAACACTATGTTTCGACCCGGATCCGACCCATTGACAGGTCTAGTCAGGGGTGGGGGAGAGGTTGGGAAAGGAGTGGAGGAGAGGGTAGAAGCAGGGGTGGGGCAGTAGTGAACTAGTGATAGGTGGTGTGGTGTGGCTGGTGGTGGCATCGGGATGGTGGTTCCAGTTAGCGGGTTGTTGCATGTAGGTCAGTAGTTGTGTCGATAGCAGCTGCGGCAGCCTATTGTCATTTGTGATGGGGTTGCGGTTTCTCCTGGGTAAAGACTGGTGTCACTGTGACCCACTGTGGTGGGTCACTAGAGCGGGAGTTTACACAGAGAAATAGATCACTATGGAGTATCAGGTCGTGGTCATTAGTCACTAAGATTATTGGGCCGTTGAAGGTGTTGGTCACTGTTCGGGTTATCGCTAGAGCGGTAGGTCATTGGAAAATAATAGTTCACAAAATCGACAACAATAATAACTACGAAAGTGCTCAATGGAGCGATAGTAAGTGAGATTATTGTCACTGGAATGGTAGTAACTTGGATGATGTTAACTGGAGCGGTAGTAATTGGGACAATAATCGTAACTAGAACTAAGACAGTGATAAATGGAACGACAATAACTGAAACAGTAATAACTAGAGCAGTAGTAACAAAAACGATAATCACTACAACGTTAGTAACTAAGATGATTGTCACTGGAGCAATGATGACTGGAACAAATTCCACACAAATTTTGAAATCTTAATGTAATAATCTTAAGTTGTTTAAGCAATTTAAATTGTGTTAGATTTTTCATAACAAGCACTTATACTACGCATGCATTTTATGAAATAAAAACACACCGTGAAATGTATATAAGCACCTCTGTGTTAACTGTTGAGGAACAACATTTCTAAGGAAAAAAAATCTCAATATTTAAAACCCTTGTGTTTCCATGTCCAATTGTCCAAATAGCTATATTCAGAAATACATAGTAATATTAAAATCAAAAGAAAGCTTTAATTGGTTAGAGAGTGCATTGTCACGTATTGCAACTTTACATAAGTTATCAGTATGCAGTGTTTAACTCTTAGCAAGGTTTAGAAAAGTAGTTATTTATTAGTCACATTATCTATGTTTTCGTAATATTCATGTCAAATCCCAAAAAATATTTCTTGGAATAAAAAATGCTCTCCTCAATAAGAACATGTATATCCACTAATGGATCAAACATGCACTCCAGGAATGGGACACTCATACAAGGCGCTCAAACTTATTTTGCTTCACTCACGCTTTAACCATAACAGTCTGGACTCTTCATTCTTTATTCATCGTGACCGCATTTGAAGTTGAATTTATTCCAATACCTAATTACCTACGTAGTACTAAAGTATTTTAGCATCACTTGCGGTATAGCGTAGATCTTTAAATGTTAAATGTCTAGTCTCTGTGTATAGGAAAAAGAATCAAATAAACCATTCTACTATTTCTAATCCGTCAATTAAGACTATGTACTAAACAAAGTATCATTTAAATACATCTACTTTTAAATACAATCAACCAAGCCCTTTGACTTGCTATAGCATATTTTTTTAAAATTAAATTAGGAATATTGATAATCTTAAAAAATTCATATAAATTTGAATAAATAATCTAATAATAATATAAAAATAGTATAAATATAAAAACAGATAAAATTTTAAAAACAATAAAGTAAAAAATAAATTATAAAAATGAAAAAAATAATGTGAAAATAAAAAAGAACAAATAAAAAAATTTAAACACCTTTTAAATAGATGTCGAATATACAATTAAAAATTAAAAAGTATTGACTTTAATATTCTAGAAATTTTCACAATTTTTGTATATGTTTCTTCAAATTTTAACAAATTTTTAGAATTTTCAAGTATTAAAAACATACTATTACAATTTTTGATCAAATGGTCAAAATTGTACATTTTGAATAGACTTGGACTCGGGACGGGTCGGGCCCGGGCCGGGCCGCCTGTTCTGAACAGATGAGCCCGGGACCGGCCCGGGTACCCACCAGGTCCGGGTCCGGTCCGGGTCCGAGCCCGGGGACCCACCGGGTCCGAGCCGAGCCAGGCCTATTATCAATTTTTTTTTCCTCTTCCTAATTAACCCCCCTCCCACCCCCAACCCCCCAAACCACCCTAAATGGCCCAAAATACCCGGCCCAACCCGAAAATTTAAAAAAAAAATCAATTTTGGCCCGAACCGGGCCCGGTCTTGTTTTGGGTGACCCGAGCCCGGACCGGAAAACCCACGGGTCGGGCCTACCCGGACCGGTCACTGACCGGGCCACCGGGTCGGGCCGAGCCGGAACAGTACTAGTCCCGAGCCAGTTCCGGGTCGAGCCACCCGGCCCGAGTCCACCCCTAATTTTGTAAAGTAAACGTAGTTATATCATTATATGATACTCCCTCTGTTCTTTATTAACTGTCTCGCATTCCTTTTTGGGACGTTTTTAATTATTTGTCCCTCTTTCCCTTTTTGGTAAATTTTTTCAATCAAAATACCTTTATACCCTCACTTTTATTACTATTACCCCTTTCTCTTTCCTACTTTTTCATTGCCCACAACCCACTGCACCTTTTACACTACCCTTATTATTTTCCTCTTAAAACCCGTGTCAAAGCCTAAGAGGACTCATATTTAGTACATGGGCTAAGTGATGACTTGAAAATAGTACAAGGGCTTATTTGAACTTTTTTCCTTAAATATATCTCAATCTTTCTTCCAAATTGTATACGTAGTATTATTTTTTCCATTTTTCGATTTCATTCATATATCTCTCCCAATTCAGAGTTTGAATATAACTATGAGTTTTTTTTTTTTTGGAAAATAATTGAACTATGAGTATTGATATAGCGGTGAGCATAAAAAAACGCCAAACCAGAACTATGCACAGGCATTCCAATTCCTATGGCTCATATATACTGCTCCTATACTCGCTGAGCGGAGAGCGGCTGAGCTCCCCCGCCCCCACACAGAGGGAAAATAGAAAAGAACAAAACATGAAATATGAGCAACTCCAAAGCAGCAAAGATGGTAATGAAGGAAAAAAAAGTGGTAGAAAAAATCACTGTACAAAATGTGCTGATGATGAGAAGTATTGTATTCAATACTCTATAGTTCTCCTAAGGCAAAGTTGTACCAAGCTTTGCAAAATACTGCTTGTCTGCCTTTGCAAGGCGATCTTGGAACATTGCCCACTCGCTTTTACACCGCTCCCTTACCTGTGAAAGGAATCTGCTTCAATCTATGTACACCTCATATTTGTTCGTTTATAATGATACACACAGACACATAAGTTCGTTTTTGGAAGCAAGAAACGACGCTTTTTGCAATATTAAACAGGGATAAAATAAACATACCACTTGCCCAGGAGATTTACCATCCTTGGACTGCCCCTGCAAATTGCATGAATAAGAGTTAGCTTAAAGTCACTCTACTGACAAAGTGACTATATATTACTCCTTAATCCTAGAATACGAATCACACAAGAAAGCACTTGGGCCGTGTTTCGATCCTGCAAAATTCTAGGGAAAGGAAAGAAAAAAGGCTACAGCAGTTATTTTCTTGTGTTTAGATTGACCTTGTAAAACATAAAAAAAGAAATAAATTTTAAGATGGTTTGCTTAGTGTTTATATAAAATAAACTAATAAAATCAATTTGAACCGAACAGATATTAAAAAATAAACTTATTGACTTTGAAACATCATTTTATTTTTTTAACATTTTATTTCATTCCACGTTTTCCACAAAATTTTCCTCATTTTCTTTCTATAGCACTTTGAACATTCCAAACAGATCTTTGAGATCTTAACCTGATTCCCAAGAGAGGGAATAACTTGATGCACGATCCATTGTGAGTCAACTACGCCAATCTTTTCATGAGCAGGCTGCAGAAATCCCAATATATTACAACACAATGATTCACAAGTCACAAATTTTGTACATAGAGCCATAGAGGTCTCTCAATATATACACGATGTATGTAGCTTTGGAGAAATACCAACCTCTACACATCTTCTGAGAGCAAAATCCAACCCCCATCCATGCACCAGGTCATTCTAGATAGTTTATCGTTTACATTAAATATTTAGAAGTGAAAACACTTGACGAGTAACAACATGCAACTAAAATTAAAAAAAGAGAGAATTCCCTAAATAGGAGTAAAAAAGTTTTGAAATTCCAAAATAGGAGTATCATTTTTTTTATTTCTTGAATAAAAGTAAATTTCTGCCAAGTTTGGCATTACTAGGCTTTAAAACATGGCATTTTTTTCGAAACTTGGCAGATTACTCCTATTCAGGAAATAAAAAACATGATACTCCTATTTTGGAATTTCAAAACGTTTTTGCTCCTATTTAGAGCAATTTCTATTAAAAAAACCTGAATCATATGCCAAACACATCTCCATGCTTCTCGTGAGAAAACAGGAGCCATGATTTCCACAAATCTGAATAACAACAACAACAACCAAGCCTTAATCTCAAAAGAATTTGGGGTCGGCTAACATGAATCGATCTATGATATCGATGCCAAACAGATAAGACAGACAAGAAAGGGAATAAAAAAAGAGAGGATAAAACGAATAAAATAAAGCTAAATAAATATAAGATAACAATAACACAAGAATATAAGAAAGATAAAAGATAAAAAATAAAAGTGCATAAAAAAGCTAGAAGATAAAAATAACATAAGAATATAAAAAGATAAAGAAGATAAACGATAAAAGAAAAAAGAGAGGAAAGGTAGAAAAGACATCAATCGTCCACACAGATGTGCGCCCTCCACTTTGCTCTCTCTAAAGCCATACTCTCAGAATAACAGAATTAAAGTCCACAATTAATAAAACAGTAGACTTTTTATTGTTAACATTCCAGTTTTTTACTTAGGATCTTGGTGATCCAAGTTCCTCCCAAGTGTTTTTACATAAAATTCGTAAATACTCCATCGACCCAAATTGATTGGCTTTTTTAGAGAATTGCACACATCTAATGAAGATTGCAAAAAGACTCTTATATCCCTATAGAAGTTCAATATTAAACACATTTTAGAACAAACTTATTTTATGTGAGATAAATATGGGCAAAGTTGGGAAATAGTATGAATTCTGCAGTAAATACCTAAAAAGACAATTACGTTGGGACAAAATATTTGGCTAAAACTACAATTTAGGGAGTAGTAAGCTTATGAACATTTATCACCATTCACCATCATTGTCGGCATCGCAATCCAACTAGTGGTGGTCAATGTCATGATATTTAGAGTGCTAGTTATTTAAGAAATAGTTAATGCTATAACTCATGGAAAACAACATGGTGAAATGTCTTTTCAAAAACCTTACAAGGCATGGTCATTGTTATGTCCATTACATAATTGACATACAAGTCATGGAAAATGCAATCCATGTTTATCAGAATTCTAAAAGTATATCAGGCTGCTCAGCAAGAAGTTGTGACAAAAAAGGTGGGAGAGGGAGAGACGTACGCTGCACATGGAGGCAGGTGTGGATCACTGCACCACCCTGGTTTCTCATCTGTCACCCTATTAATCCATACAAACTCGGTAAACTTCCAAAATGGACAGGTCATTTGAGCACAATCAAATTAAGCAAATTAAGAAATAACAATAGAGAACTCAACATATAAAACCTACTTGTGGACTTCACTGTCTCCTCTCCTTTTTGTCATTTGCCATGTCAGTCCATGGTTTGGCTCCAGGCCAGGCTGAGATATCTCTAAACCATGCTGCCTCACTAACTGAATATATCTGGCAATACAAATTGACACCAAATGAACCCTATAAGAAATTCAATCTGAATAATGAAGAGAAAAACTGAAAGGGGCCCTAATGTCGAACGACTTACTTCACAGGATTGAAGTGCTCCACTCCAAGATCTTCATCCCAAACAAATATATAATCATAAGCTGCTACAACATCAGGATGCAAAAAACGCTTCGCATACCACCTATGATGGAGGAGGGGGAGAGAAAAATTAAGAAGATAATAATGTAAAAATTAGCTTTTCCACAATTAAATAACAACATGGTAATGTTAAATGGTTAGCTTAATCATATACTCTGTCCCTGGATAAAAAAAATACCCATGTGGATCAACACTTGATCAAGATATTTAAAATTTGATTGTATATAAGAATTTTATCAAGTAAATATATCTATACATATTTTGAGAAGTACATAAAATGCCAAAAAGGTTGTTAGACAGATACTTAGTTTACACAATTAAATATCCATACCATGCATAATCAGACAGAGAAGTATCATAAGATAATGGTACTAAATGAATGCCTACCTAATTAATTTCACCTTTAGCATATACTCCCTCCATCCCGCTAAGATTGTACCATCTTTTCTTTTCGGTCCGTCTCACTAAGATTTTCCCATACCAAATTTGTTAATATTTATGTGCTTCTAAATCATTTTTACTTTATTCTTACTTTATCAATTCAATATGAACCACATCAACCTACTTTTCTTATTAACCGCACCACCTCCTCATGTCCCAATGTTAGTGGGACAGAAGTAGTATTTCTTCAAAATCTGTTCTATAATATTCCCTTATCAAGTCTTTGTCTGTGAGTTTATGTACTAGGTCCGAACACGGAAGTACAAAAGTTTAGAAGTCAAATCTAAGACATCTGATCCATACCACTTTGTTTGCTTGCTAACACTGACATGTATTGCACGTCTTGACCAATCAAACTGATCCCATTCACTGGTATGACCATCATAGTGAAAAAGCATAATCTGGAAATCCTCTGAGAACTAAAAACATCATTGTATAAAATAAAACTTAGATCAATAAAATCCAAGAGTGGACAAACATTAAGGTCTTGATATAATTCCTTAATTGATATAAACCTTTTTAACTGACGCATCAATATTGTTCTTTTGTTCCAAACCAACTGTGAAGGTCACCAGGTACTTTGGCTTCCTTTTTAAATCCTGAGAATTTGGAAACATTGGAAGATAGAAGCACCCCAAGTACATATCCTTGTAATGGACTGAGGAACTACTATAAGTGGTAACTAAAATTAATATTATACATTTATACTTCCTTTAAATATTTAACCATATGTTACAAGTCAACAGAACCACAAGTTCATATGCATAGCATTATTGTTTAATTGTACTTTACCCGAAGGGTCAGTATGGAATTTGGATGGAGGGGTTTTCAAGGGCCAAGTCCATATATTGATTTTCAGATCTTATAGAATATGAAGCAATAACATAATATGTGATAATATAGCATTTGAATTACCCTTTATTGGTTTTCAGAAATATTCTATTTCTAAGGACTTAAACTAAGCCTAAGCCACCCTCCGTCCAAACTAATTTGCAGATAAAAGAATTAGCAATGACTGTATACATTACAAAACACACCTCACTTGGTTCACCCCATAAACGACGCAAATAAAAATCTGATTCTGCAACTACAATTCCTGGTGGGAGTGACTCTGCACCATGAGGATTGGTCGGTACATATATCTGGATAACAAGCCCGAAATGGATGATGAATTGAATATATCTCAAATAAATAAATAAATAAATAAATAAATAAATAAATAAATAAGTGTTTGAAGTAAAACAAAATGCCCACAAATATAAAATAATCAATAAAATATTTTCCAGCCAACTGTACATAAGTTCTCAGGAATGATTAAATTTGTATAATAAGTCGACACATAATCCTATTTCAAAGATATATCATGACACAACAGTGCAACGTAACAAAGTACTCTTATAATCCATTAGAAAGGAGATGAAACACCATAAAAAGACGTTTCAAAGTGCAATATAAGAGACGAACTAAATTAAACAGTGAGGGTGACAGGGAATATTAATTAATCTTTCAAATATTCAATTATTAAAGTGAGGATGAGTTTACTAATGTAGTTTTAATATACAATCTGATGAACATACATGACATAACGAAAGGAAGGAAGGAAAATTATTAAAAAACGCCTATTAATGAAACAAGTACCTTGGGTGTTACCAGAGCACCACCAGAAACATGGCTCTCAGGGAAACTAAGATTAGTAAGTAGTGGCTGGTCATCGCCAGAGGCTACATCAGTTGATGATATAAAGCTTGAGGGTAAGTTAATCTGCACAAGATTATGCTCAAAGCATCAACTAAAGGACAAATATGACTATACAGTTTATACTTTGGGCCGAGCAAATTTATCCACAAACTTACCTTAGTTAATGCAACAATCGGAAAGGAAATGCCTATAAAATATCCAAACACCATTCCCATGATTGTCGTTATGATAAGCCTGGCACTATTATTTGACTTTTTAAAAGTCCCACTGCAATCAGATGGAAGGACATGTTTAAATGTTTAAAATGTAAGCATAATATTAACTAATTAAGAAAAACCAAAATTCTAAATATAAATACAAAACTTATGCAGGTAATAAGTGAAGTTTGTGAAAGTACTTTTCAAGTGCACATAACTGAATTCCAAGTGTATATCAAGCAAACAAAGAATATAGGTCTCTAACTCACCTTTGGCGAATGATTCCCATTGTGATAAAAGTTGCTCAAGTCAATGCGTCTCTGGAGGGGAGTACCATAAGTCCAGTGATTAGTGCACAAAATTCGCTGACTATTTGATCCTATACATTCACCAAAAGTTTACTATCTCAATTTCAATTACTTGCTTAAAAAATTCGCATGCTAATTTTTCTACACAATTATTATATCGTTACATAGCAAAATCCATTGCAGTGTACGAAGAAGATTTGAAAGCCCGTCAGTCATTTTTCCAGCCACACCATGATATTTTCATTCAGCACCATTTAAAACCCAAAGAATGTAAGGGAAAAAATTGGGAAGAAAACCGAAGGAAAGGAAAAAAAACTGACTCAAACGTAATAAGTAAATCTTATATATTTGTTCAAAGTCAATTTATTTATATATTTCTATCATAAAACTAAAAAGAAATACAAATGTGTACGATTTTAGGAAGTCTTAAATTTTTTTTCCCTTCAGATTCTCCAAAGTAAAGCACTAAAGTGAAACATAGAAAACTATTTTCATCAACACGTTTTCCCTTTCCGAATCATCTCTAGTGTTCCAAACATGGATTAAGAGATTGATGTTTTCAATCAAGCAGGATAACACATCCACTTTCATGGTTCCACTAACCTAAATCATATTCGATAAAAAATGACTCGACAAGAACTGGACCAGTTTTATAAACTAATTCTACAAACAACTTCATTCTTGAATCTTGAACACCTCTGTATGTACAGAAAAGGAGTGGGAGGAAAAAAAAGTTAGTTGGGTTTTGGTCCCCCCAAGCCCAGGCATAAGTAAAATAGAAATAATTGCATTTAACTTGGAGTTGAGATTTGTATCACCTCCCAATAAACCACCACCGCTTCTAAAAAATACGGAGTAAAAGATTAAACCGTTACTCTAAAGTGTTTTCGCACATAAAATGCATAATCTCAAATTAAAGTAAAATGGAATTCTACTTGAAGGATTCAGTATGGCATGGAAGTTCATACCTGAAAGATAAGAAATTTGAAATGAAGTATGAAACAACGAAATTAATGAGTTTGAACATCTACCTTGAAATATGATGAAGATTTCTAGAGTCGATCAAGTGATAGGGTTTGTGATCATTGAAGGTTTCAGAGGATTGGGGTTCGCCCTGCTAAAGATTATTGTTTGAGTTTCTTCTGCAGATGGAATTCAAAAGTGAAATGTTCTTTTAGTAGACCAACGTAGCAGCATGATGATATACTTCGTATATAGTGCGACATTTTGACAAATGAAAAGTTGTTTATTCATTGCAAATTCTCCGCGAATATTTGTCGAATAGTCAGGTAAAAAATAGTGTCCCTCCTCTATAAAAAATGTAAAAATAAAAAGGTGTACAAGAATATAATATGATAAGATTCAGAAATTGGACTAATAGGTATAGAGAGAATTTTCTAAATAAGAGTAAAATTGTTTTGAAATTCCAAAATAGGACTATCACGTTTTTTATTTCCTTAATATGGATAACTTTCTACCAAATTTGGCATTACTAGACTTTAAACATGACATTTTTTTCTATAAGAAAAATTTACTAAATATGAAATTTACTAGACTTTCTACCAAGTAGATCTTGAAATTGGATACAAAATAAAGTAGCTAAAATATTTTTAACATGCTATTTTAATATTCTTTCAAGCTCTAACAATCTCTAACTTGATTCCTCAAATTCAATCTGTCGTATTTTTTAAAATATATCATTTAGAGAAATATTAATTGCTGAAAATTGATTTTATTGAGATTTAATTTTAATTCCATATCTCAAACCGTTTTACTTAACTTGAGTGCCACACCAAGCACTTTAATTTGTGGTTCAATGGCATCGCTGTGACACTCCCAAGAAAAATGTCACAGGTTCGAAATTCATTCCAATTAAGGAAAACATTTAACATTGAAATATTAGAAATTGATCTAAATAGGAACAAAAACGTTTTGAAATTCCAAAATAGGAGTATCATGTTTTTTATTCTCTGAATAGGAGTAATCTGCCAAGTTTGGAAAAAATGTCATGTTTTAAAGCCTAGTAATGTCAAAATTGGCAGAAATTTACTCCTATTCAAGGGAAAAAAAACATGATACTCCTATTTTGGAATTTCTAAAACTTTTTTACTCCTATTTAGGAAATTCTCTCTTGAAATATTGAACTTATGCTACAAAAGACTAGAAAGTCACACAAAAAAACTTGAGTGCCACGTGAACAAATTGCAATGTTTTAATTATTGCAAAAATTAGAAGATTTCAAGGGAAATCTAATATCAAGAGAGGTCAAGGCGAAAATAGATATTTTGGACAAAGTTACCAATAGGGATGGACCAAGCCCGATTCAGGCCGGGCCTCGGTTCGGGTCCAGACAGGCTTTTTTTTAGTTTAGTCCCGGAATCGGCCCGGATAGCTACCGGGTCAAGGTCGGGACGGGTCCGGGATTTTTTTTTTATGTTGTTTACAAATTAATTCAAGAATTGCTAGATATAAAAAAGTTAAAGTATATTTATTTGAAGGGGTAATTTGAGTTTGCACCGTATTTTATTGTGCAAATTGGACTTTGCACCATGTATTTAAAAAACTTTGTTTTTGCACCCCAACCCCATACGAAGAGACAAAATTGCTCCTTCATTAACAATTTTGTTGGCCTTCAACTTATTCTTGATCGAGAGCATTTTTGTCTTTTCATATGGGGTTGAGGTGCAAAAACAAAGATTTTTAAAAACAAGGTGCAAAGTCCAATTCACACACTAAAATAGGGTGCAAACTCAAATTACCCCTTATTTGAAATATGAAGTACAATTGAGAATTGAGAAAAATTTAAAACATGAAATACATTTTCTAATAAATAATAATCAATCGGAATCTCCGCCATCTTCGGTTGTTTCCTCCATAAAGTGGCGGGTGGAGGCGATGCTTACTTCTTGAGTTCTACGTTGGGTCTTCAACCAATCGTGGAAGCAAACAAGCGTCTCAAGAGAGTTTGCGCTCAGTCTCGTTATATAATCCGTTAGCACGTTGTCGGTCGCACTAAATTCTTATTCCACGGCAACTGTTGATACCGGCATTGCTAACACTTACTTAGCCATCTTTGATATAAATCGGCAACTAATATATAATACGTAGTATAATGTTTATACTACCTCCGTCCTGGTGGACTTTGCCAAGTGCAAAGTAGGTGAGAAATAAGAATAGTAAAAACTGTGTGGTTGAGATTTGTGCAGAGGAGAGAGAAATGTGCAGAATCACAAGGTAGTTGCTTTAATATGAAAGTGACAAAGTTTTTGGGGACAACCAAAAAAGAAAAGTTGACAAAGTGCAAAGGTACGGAGGGAGTTTTATATAATATATAAGTATATTATGGGTAATACACTTATATTTAATACTTTAATATATAAAAGTATTTATTAAGTAGATGTAATATGTAAATATAAGTAAATAACAATAATATAATAAGTAGATAATAAGTAGAAATTAAGTAGATATAAAGTATATATTAAGTAGATAATAAGTATATACTAAGTAGATAATAATTATTAGTATATGTATTTGATGGATAGTCTACCCGGGGGTATATATCCGAAGGGTTATTACGAGGAATAACTTAGAGAGAAGTCAGAGCAAGTAAGTAAAAGTAGAGAGAGAGTGTATTCAGTATGGATGTCGTTTTCAGCGTGGTTACAAATGGGGAAATGGGGTGCTATTTATAGTAGCAATAAATGCCGGGCAGGGACACGTGTCAAGCGCTCATTGGCCGAGGGGTCACCTCAACTGGTTGGCGCTGGCAGCCGCATGTGGCCGCATTTAATGCGGCTGTTGGACGGGACGTCTGTGCGGGGTACGGTGATCTGTACGCATGTGAGGCGGATATCTTGTCGAGTGAGATGCCTTCGGCTATAGAGCAGTAGCCGAGGGCTCTTCCACCCGATGGCACCCTGGTGCCGAGGGCTCACAGTGCCGAGGGCTACTGTTTTCGCCGTTTTCTCCCAGTCTCTTAATTTGCTTGAGAAACCCGTCCTGTGAGAATTTGGAGCCTTCGGCCAGGGGCCGAAGGCACCCCTGGCGCGTAGTGCGGACTGCCTGGTACTCTTGGCGCTGTGATTTGGGCCTGTTGGGCCTTTTGGGCCTTCGCTGGAGTAGTAGGAGTCTGTGGCCCGGGGGTTCCCGGGCCATATACTCCATCAGGAGTCCCTCACTCCTTTTGCCGAAAGGTACTTGAGGGAAAAGGAGTAATTTGTGCTTGCCCTTTGATGTTGTCCCGTCGTGATCTCTGAAGTTGGTGAGGAGTTGTTTCTTTTATGTCCCCGCCGAAGGCAGTCCCTCAGTTACCCACATGTCGGGACTTGAGGGCTTGCTTTGTTGTTTGTTGGAATTTCACAGATTTTGTAATTTAATGATTTTCCCGAGGGGGTCCTCCAGTCCCCCACTCCTTGAGGCACTTGTAAAGTGGTGAAAAGGGATAAAGTAGTTACGTTGCTGTTGTGGGCCGAAGGCTGACGCTTTTCGTTTCATTTTGGGGGGATGCCTCGTTAAAAACCTCATTAGGAAAAACCCTTTGGGAAAAAATCCTAATGAGGGAAAAAGAGTGCACCGAATTCCCCCAATGATGAATCGAAAATGTCAAACCTTGGTAAAAAATGGAGAATGACGGGAATGCCGAAGGCTCTCTCTTCTGAGGGCTCCTGTGTTGATTAGCCGAAGGCTTGCTGTTGATGTCCTGGTGGCGCCGCAGGGGAGCCCCTCAATCCAGGGATCGAGGGCCTGCCAGATGAGGGCAACAGTGAAGTTGTTACCGGGGGGTCCACTGTTTGTTGATTAGTTGGTGATGAAGATACCCGAGGGCTCCCATTACCTGTGTGCCAGGGACCATCCGTCAATGAGTCACTCCCCGGGGGCTACCCGGTTTTGCAGTACTGGGGGGGAATTCCCGAGGGGTGCCCTGATATGGAGCCTTGGGTTTCTGAAGGAGTGATCCCGAAGGCGTCCGTTATGTGCTGTGTGGGGCACAACCCGGGGGCATCTCTGGGTAAGTGTACCCGGAGGCTCTCCTTGACGAAGAGGAGTGAAGTGGAAAAACCCGGGGGCTTCCAGAATATAGCCGTTGGAAATATAGCCGTTGGAATGTGTAACGACGGGATATAGCCGTTGGGGGGGTGGCACACGTGGCGTGTGATGGCTGGCTGTTCGTGGGCGGCGTCACCGGTTGGGTGAAACGACGGTGTGTAATGATGACGGTCCGTCCGGAGGCCCGGTTTCCGGGCCCAAGCCCGGATTCCAGCGCCTATAAATACCCCAAGGCCAAAGCCACTCCCGCTGTGCGAACTCAGTTGTCTTAGCGAAGCTCTGCCAAAAAATCTAGTGAGAGAAACTCAAGCCTTCGGTCCTAACTCAGCTTTCGAGGTCAGTGCTCCCTGCCTTTCTCCTTCTAGTATAGCTGTACATTGCGCCGTCGGGTTAGGAGATAGAATTCACTAGAAACCTTAGTTCCCCCGAACCCTCGAGCTAGAGATAGAATGTCGTCTCAGAGTGACTCTCAGGACATCTCGAGGACGCCCTCGATGGAGGACGAGGGCATCTCCGACGTGGAGTCCAGCAGTGGCCAGCCCTCGGATGGTGCTGATGTCGTCCTGGCCCGGGAGGTCCAGAAGGAACTCATTGCGGAGGTCGAAGCCGAGGGCTTCGAGCAGGAGTGCGAGGATGAAGACTTGGCCCTCGCATGGCAAACAGCGGAGGATGAGGCGCAGAATGAGAGCTCGAAGGTTACGATTGTTGTTCTCCCCCCTCGGGGTTCCGGGGAGGCCAGTAGCTCGAGGCCGCTGGATCCGATACCTCTGAGGGCGGTTTCCGGTTTGAAGAAGAAGAAGGCCGCTACCAAGAAGAAGGAGAGGGCCGTCGATCAAGGAAAGCCCGTGGACATGCCCGAGGGGTACAGTTGGCTGAACACTGAGCCCCTCGAGATCAGGTCGAAGGCTGACAGGGCAGATCTGTACGTGACTCAGCTGCACGTGGGGCCCTCGGCCGAAGTGGTGGAGCCAGGTCCCGACGACGTGTTGTCCAGGGCGCCCGAGGGGTGTATCGCTATTCACGTCCTCTCGGTTTCCATGGGACTTAGGTTCCCTCTGCACCCATTCCTCCGGGAGTATTTGAGGTTTGTTGGTTTGGTCCCCTGCCAACTCACGCCCAACAGCCACTCCTACATTGCGGGGTTCCTCCAGCTCTGCAAGTCCCGAGGGGTGAAGCCCAGCCTGGATCTATTCTTCCAGAGCTTTAATTTGTGCCGGGGGGG